ACATGGCAAACTAAACACGTCTCTGTGGAGAACAGAGTCAACGACCGCAGCAAAGACCAAAGAACCGGCAACAGACTGGTTCTTTGGAACCTCTCTGGACAAGGAGAGGACGGGAGATTGACCACTTGTGCCCTGGATAGCTGCTCCTCACGAGGACACTGCAGGACAGCAGTCTCCCATGGGTCTGAGTGCCAGGAGGCAAAGGATCAGCTGTCATGCTCACTACCATGACAGAGCCTTTTTAAAGGACACTGAGTTTGCTAACTCCATTTTCTAATCACTTTTGGAAATTATTTACTACTGTAAAGAAATCTTTAGAATGACGAGTTTGAAAAACCACCTGGTGAGTCTACCTTCCTTCTTGAACAAAAGAAAAATTAACTATAAATTTAAGAATTTAAAGAATTGGAAATAAATGGCAAAAAGCTAAATATGTTTTTGATTTAGGAAAGTTATACATGAATTAAGGGTCCAGACATAATTTGCAACATTGAGATTTTACTATAAGATTTTGTAATTAAATAAAATAAACAGCATCTCATGGGAACCAAATTGTTTTGTCTACGTTAAGTCAAAATTGAACCTTGAGACTTTATGATTTCCGAAATTGGACACTAGAGAGAACTAAAGATTCCAGGCAGAAAAAGAAAAAAAGGTGTAAACTTGCCTTTCTTCTTTTTCTTTTCTTTTTTCACATTTTTTATTTTTTTTCTATTTCTCCTTCTCCTTCTGAGTTTAGTTTGTATTTGCTGTTACTATTGTAACTAAAATCTTTAATTAAAAATATGAAAAAAGAAGAGGAAATGTCACCCCCCCCCCTTTGCTCTCTTGTCAGTTTTCCCTTGCAAGTCAACAAGGAAGAAAGAGTCCCACTAATGGTATGCTTTGGCCCAAGGCCTTCTCAGTAGTGGCCCCCCTGCTTTGGAATATAGCACTTTCCTCTTTGCATTTTACAAAATGGATAAAATTCTCATTCCATTACACCTTTGGCCCTAATAGACTGATTATGGGCATTCCATCTTGGTGCCTGTCTTGTTTTAATTTGTTGTTTGTGTTTTTTCTGCTTTATTGTACACTGTCTAAAGTCTTGTGAATGGGGCAGTCTACAAGTACTGTAATAAACAATAATAAATGGCTGAGAAATCTTAACTGGATTGCAGTGGAATATAAATGTAATAAATAAATAAATAATCCTGGACAGGCACCCTAATAGTGTGATAAAAGATCCACTGGTTTTGACAAAAAGTGTTGTTTTGTGAGAAAAATCTGCCAGCTCTTGAATTATTGATGTGCAATTTATTTTTACTTGTGATACCCAAATGGCTTCAAGTATAATTCAAGCCAGGCATTGACAACATTCAGATAAAGTGGGACCAGTAATTGAGTTGTTATAGAAACTGAACCAAGCTGCAAAGATTGAACTGTGGAGTTTATTCAAAGGAATCCCCTATTAAGTATTAGGAAGGCCTCTCTCTCCCACTTGCAGATGTTCTCATTTTACCTTGCTTAGAAATAATGGAAAGTGACCATTTAGAACCACAGCAGCCACCTTCATATTATGTAAAAGGCAAGAGCCAAGAAAATGTTCCGTGGAAGCTGGTGGGGAGGAAATTGAGGACACGAGAGTCAAATGTTCATGGTCTGCTCAGCAGCAAGCTTTGTGTCAAGGTGGAAGATGCTCCTTTGGTCCTTCCTTGTAACTGGGGAAAGAAGGATGTCTGTGTAACAGGAGTTTTTCAGCTCCCTCTTCAAAACCTACTCTTTCAATGAAGACTTTATAACAACTACCTAGTTCCCTGCCTTCGTCTAAGCTGTCATATAAACAGTTACAAACTGACTTCCCATGTACTCCATCACTCTTTCCTCTTTGTCAAATTGAGATGGGAATACCTCTGAGTGGGGAGTTATAGTAGAGTGCAATAAATACAGAGCTACATAAACAACCTATAGACTCACTGACACAGTCTTAAAAGAAATGTGTATTGACCACTATGAGGTCCGAGGTCTATAAATTAACAAGGGAGCCATCTTTATTGGGGACAGCAGCTATGTCTCCATGGAAACCAGGCCTCCTATTTATCTAGACCTGGTCCTTTGTTGGGAAAGCAATATGTTCCCTCCTAATAATATGTTTTCCTATAACTGCACGCTTTACTTAGCAGCAGCACACCCAATACCATATAACAATCTTCCCCAGCCTGGTGCACTTTACTCCTGTGTTGGACTATAGCTCCCACTTCTCAGAATGGATGAATATTATGGAGGTTATAGTCTAACACCTCTGCAAGGGCGGGGGGGGGCAGAAAGCTGAAGAAGGATGTTATATTCAGATATTCTTAGCACAGGAATTCTTAATTAAGCTGTGGATTGGGCCCAACCTCCCACTGTGCTCATCCCAAAGCATGTTTCATATTGTGACAAGACTCTTCTAGGTGAAATAATGAGATTGCCTGAGGGAAAAGCACAAAGGCTTGCTAGGTCTGTGATACCACACAATCTGTCTATTAACAAGAAGGAGGAATTTTACAAAAGGGCATCCAAATTCTTCTTTATTCTGTGAAGGAGATAGCTTTAGGTGATACCCACCTAAAGATACCCACTTAGGGACGGAGGAATCGTGGAGATCTGATGCCTGCCCTTCCCCATCCTGCCAGCAGGTGTCACTCACAGTCTTCCTTCCACTTCACAGGGGTGCCATTGTTTGCTTCTCACAAAATTTGGGAAGTCCCGTGTTCCCTCTGGTGCTGGGCTTGTTGTCAAATGTAGGTTCTTGAAAAAAGAATGTTGCTTTCTTAAAAGGATGCAGCAGACATTAATTTTAGGAAGACACTTATGCTACACAGGCTTATTACAGTGTAAAAAACCCAAAATTGAAATAATTGCTGCCTGATTTGGCCTGACTCCTGGTTCTTCTTTCCCCTACTTTGACCAGCCATCATTAGCTAACGTTTTTATTCTCTATCTTACAGAAGAAAGAAGCCAACAAACAGGTTTTTTTTTTCCTACGGTTTGCTAACAGCCATCCATCCAAGCCAGAATGTGGCATCCAGCTGCAGTAGAGTAATGCTAAACTGCTGGAAACAGGCCACTTACTACTTTTTGTGAGGCTTTCAGTCCTAGGAGAAATTGCATCTGGACTGGATTCAGCCGTGTTATAAGAATAACAACATCCACAATCAGTGCTATCTGTGCTCTTTAATCTGCTATCCAAACACCGTTAAGCTCAATATTATTATACCGTAACACAAAGTCTGTAAGACCTGAAAGAAATTGCTTCAAAAATCCAAGGTTAAGATTTGATCTGGGAATGTCCCTAGCTCACAACACATGGTTTGATCTGGAAAACCCCAAGTTTAATCCAGGCAGGAAATGCATCGCGATGCTGTTGTGGGAGGTTGCTTGGACATGTGTGTCTGAAAGTGCCTCCAACAAGGCCACTGATATTCAACTCTTCTCTAAAGAACAGTAGGAAAAAACAGCAAGAACAGAGTTAGGCCTCTTCTTTTCCCTTGCCTCCTTCAGTCCTTTCTCATTCAATGTGCAGCACCAGCCTTCACCTGCCATTAGGCAGGAGATGGCTGATCATTTGCAGTATGTACTGGCCAGCCATTAAAAGATAAGTCATTTAAACTCCATTGTTTCCATTTATAGTTTCTGCAATAACTTGAGCCAGCAAAGTGGCCAGGTGCATCCAGAGGCGAGGCTGCATCCGTTTATGGGCTGACAAAGAGTGAACCCTGGGTAGGTGCCACTTCTCTCCCCCCTCTTAATTCCCCATTTTTGCCCCACTGTGAAGTGCTCCCTCTTTGTACTCGGCCTAAGCCAGCTGCCAGAAATGACCTTGCAACTGAGCTCTTTCCAGTTGGGAAGGGAGTCGCCTGGAGAAGGGCAGAGCAAACCCCGCTGCTCGCCCTCGCCTCGCCCTCCCGCTTGGCAGCCTCTGCAGCTAGGTCAGGAGGCATACGTACGGCGCAGGTAAAGCGCCGGGCCCTGCGGGCTCGGGGCGCTTTTTTTAGTGACCGGACTCCGCCGGTGGAAAGTTTTACCAAGGGCATTTTTTGGTGCAGGGACGGAGCGCAGCGCCTGTGTTTCTCCGGCCTCCCCCTTTGACCTCGTGCATCTATCTCCTCAAGGGATCTCCTCCACAGAGCAGAGCGAGGATGCTATGCTGGCGCGCTGAGCGGTCTCTTCAGTCATTGCAGGGGACGCGGTGGCGCTCCGCAGTTAGGCAGGGGGTAGCTTCAATTAATGCACCGAAGCCGCTGGCCAGCGCGAGGTTAGCTAAACCGCTCAGAGCGGCAGGCGGGAAAAGAAGGGGTCGACGCATTCCCCCCGCGAATCGCCAGTCCT